CCCCTTTCTGGGGCCCCCCCTCCCCCTTTGGGGGTTTTTTTTTTTTTTTTTTTTTTTTTTACAGTATCAGCAAGTTTCCAGGATTTTGCTCTACCTCTGCACCAACAAGAAGCTGCTTGGAGCTGGGGGCAGTGGAGAAAGGTGACTGGAGACAGGGCATCACATTCTGTGCACAAGCCCAACAGCTGCAGGCAGATAAGTGTGCAGATGTGGGTGTGTGGGACAGGGGTTCAATGTTCCCACGGTGGATCTTTGAGATTGCTACCTGTAACTTTTTTTTACAAATTTTTGTTGACAAGTATCATCTTTGGAAGTTTCAATATTAAATCACAGCTATAGAAATAAGTGGAAGTCATATGGCATTTATAGCAATTTATGAAGCATTTTTGTTCCTGAACTGTCCTCAATATTACCATTACAGGTCTCATTTATATTCATGAATGATCATGAAAAGCAAGTAATCTGGGAATGTGCTTTCCCCTTAAGCAAAATTTGCTATTGAACCTTTGGGCTTTAAGGAAAAAATATTTACCCTGATAAAGGAGCGAAGTTTTGTGTGGTTTACTCCGGAGATATGATCAGGAACAGTATTAAAGTAATACTCGTTACTAGGATTTTAAATACTCATGGGAAAAGAGGCAGCACTGATTATTCACAGTTGGATCCTAGCAAATCTTCTTAGTGATATGGAATCCAAGATATCAGATTCACCTGAAAATTACAGATTACAGCCTTCATCTTTGTCTTGTAGCAATTTTATGCATCATCTCTGATGAATTATGAAAGACTTCTGAGAAGGAGAATCAGGGCCTTTTTAGGACTTCAAGGGTGGGCTTTACAGTTTGTTTGTTGTTGTTTTTTTTAAGTCATTCACTGAGGCTGTCAGTGGTAACCATCACCAGGATTACTGTGGGAAGACTACAGAAAGAAAGGAACAAGAATGACTCACGGATGCCATTACCGTCCAAGAAAGGAAAGGGATTTAAAAAATAAAAGTAGAAAGGGGGAAAGAATTAAAAAGTCTACTTCCCACAAGAAAAGTAATTTTATTAAATAAGAAGGGAAGTTTATCAGTTTGCACCATGGATGAAGACACAGTAAACTGTAATCTAGCAAATACTGTATTTTCCTCACATACAACATACCCCCAAATGTAATATATACCTTGTTTTTAGAAGGCAGAAAGAACAAAAAAGATTTTTCCAGAGTTATTGCTGCATAGAGCAGAACCAGAGTCTAATTTTTCAACTGACTCACCATCTCTTTCCTGCATAACTAAAACTACATCCCTAGTTGCTGCTAAACACTGGTCTCCATGGGTGGATCTATAATTCTGAAAAGAACTAAAGAGTCTGTGAAAGACAGAGCAGAAGCAGCTAGCAGACAGCAAAATTGTCCTAAGAAAGGTTAGCTTGATTAGTGGAACATCAAGACATTAAAAAAAAAATAAAGATGATCAAACACCCATAGAATGAAGAACAAGTTATTGCATTATTGCACTCAAAAGTATTTTGTGAATACAGCTCATCCTAAGAATCTCAACTCTCATTTTCTAGCAAGAGCAATACACAGCCCATAAGTTTATTTAAATTTCCTTTTTTTTTTTTAACATAAAAACCCTATAGAAAAAGGGTGGCTATCAAAATATTAAATATGAATAATGAGTTAGGCATAACCAGAACATTTAAACAAAAAACTAATTTATTACATTAAAAAAACCACAAATCATTTGATGCTTCTGCTCAATGTTTATTTCCAATTAAAACTTTTAACTTCTATTCCTCATTGAGAAGTAGTTATATGCATATTTGAAGTACTATAATTTTAACAATTTCAGCTAGTCATGTAAAAAACAAAACAAACACAAAAAAACAAACCCAGGAATCAGAGCAAACTTCTTCCTTAATTCTAACAACTCAAAAGTTGAACACATTTTTCTGAAGCTTTAAAAAAGATAAATAAAAATCAATGCTATGTCTAAGTTATTATAGAAAAACAAGTGAAGATAAATGTTTAT